CTTAACAAAAATTAATAAAGAGGTTAGATTTTCGAGACTAGTGCCTCAGGTATTAAACGTTTTAGTTAAAGCTAGTCTAATAATATAGAGAAATGGAGTTTATTCAATTTAACTTTGAAAAAAACGAAACTGAATTAGTAAAACAAAGTTATATTATTATTGCTTTTGATTCTGATGTGTCTTAATGCAATTAATATTGTTAAAAATAATTAAAATTTGGATCTTAAGGTACTCGCTCCTTTTATATGTTCAAAAAAAAATAAAAATGAAAGAGATACATGCCGTAAATTGAAGAAAAAGTTAAAGACTCGGGAGGTTGAGAAGGTTGGAATGGGTAAATGTAACTTCATATTTAAATAACTATATAGATATATATACATATATATGGGATTGTTTTTCAAAGACAAAACATGAGAGCGAAAAAAATTATATGTGAACATATACATTATATTACCTATGTTTTTGCTGTGTGTGTTTATGGATTTTAATTCTTCTAAATATCGTATATTTAATTGATCGAGCTGTTATTAGTTCCATTTTTTTTTTATTATTACTTTGTTCTCAATTGCTAAAATAAACTGTTTGTCTGTATGTTGCAATGATGTACCATACAGTCTAAATATAAATATGTTTTTATATTTAGCAGATTTGGTCTTACGGAATTGAGCTTTGGGGCTTCACTAAACCATCGAATTCCTCTCGTATCCAATCCTTACAATCCAAAATCCTTCGTAAAATCCTCAACGCTCCTTACTTTGTCACAAATAAAATCATCCATAAAGACCTTAATGTTCCATATGTTTCCGATCTGGCCCAATCCAGATACCTTTCTTCCATAACAAACTGCAGAATCATCCGAATCCTCTCGTTTCAAACCTTGCTTCCTCCTCGATCCCTGATAACCCTCCGAGGCGTCTGAAAAGAAGATGGTCTCGGGATCTTCTAATATAGAACTTTAATTTGAGTTCTACCAATGGGTAGTTTCTCTTCATGTTGTACATGCCATGTTACAAATTTCTCATTTACTTATTGTATTCTCTATGCAATACAGTTGTAAATTTCATTAAAATAATAAAAAAAAAAAAATATTTAGCAGAATGTCTGACGATCTATCTATCAAAAGAATTATTACAAGTAAAGTCGTAGAATTTTAAGGCCAAAGCTCCAGCGGGCAGATTGTGTAGTTCACGGAGCAAGAATTATGAATTATGCAGAAATCTCTAACCCAGGGTTTAATTCAAAATTCAAAATTATTTACTTGTTTTATTTTAAAATAATTTACTTACAATCAGTCAATATTGTATTTTAACTAAATAAGGATACATTTTTTAATTTTTCACGGAGTCCTAGGAGCCAGTGGACAGTCGAATAAAGTTAATGTCCTTTGTCGTAAATGCGTCAGAGAGTCTAAAACAAGTGCTCATGTGCTAGGAAAATGCCTCAACAACTCCCTCCTCATAACACACCCTCACCATAGGCTCAAATACGGGTTGATGAAGCACCTTAGGGGAAGAGAATTAACAGAAATAATTTCAATGTGTTGTTACATTGATAATATATGTGATGAGAGATATAAAAATGGAGAAAAATATATAATATGAAATAATGAATAGTTTAAGGATTGAAAAGTAAGTCGTGTATCGAGAAACCATATGTAGTCTACTTCTTTTAATAAAGTATTTCTTTCTAATCTATTACATCGAAATACATACTTCTCTTTTCTATTAATGCTATATTCTTAGAGTTTATTTTGTTTGCTATTTCTAGGAGTATCTTGAGTCTCCTACTTTGCTTTATAATTTTAAAAATAACAGATATTCAAGTAACTAGAACGTCCCATTGACCAATGTTTAAAATATAGAATAAAATTTATACTGATTTAAAAACAATTTCTTTTAAGATTTAACAAAGACGTTTAAATGGAAATTTTCTTATCTATTTTCCAATCCCTACCTTCCGTTAATCATCGGAACATGGCTTTCATCCTAAGGACCCTTTCGATTTTATAATTTCCTCTTTCTCTTCGGCCTCGGAGGTAGAATAATTCAATCTTGCTTGGGTATTGTCTCTCTATCCCTCTTTGAATACTAACCATGGATAATCTTTTCTCTTTGCGGATATCCGTTCAAATCATCGCATTATATTATTCTCCTTTAAAACATAGTTTTAGATGTATAAATGATTTTGTACGTTATAATATTAAAACGCTGCAAATTATTTCACAATAGTTTATTATGTCCAAACAATTATACATCTAAAGTAACATTACTTTCCTATTAACAAAGAAAAAGAAATAAAAGGTGCTACCAATTATTGCCCTAATTTTTTTTTATAGTAATAATAGCATTACTTCAGTAACACATTCAAAAATCAAAAACCAAAACAAAGGATATATATATAAACTTTGCAATATAACATATAAAAATATAACAATATAACATAATCGATTCTCCCCCTATAATTTTATTTATTTTATTTGAAATTAGATCCTCCGTCCGCCTAACAGCTGACCAAAAACCTCATTTTAAAAGTTCTACAAATGAAAAAGGTGTTTTAAAGACAGGCATTATTTAAGAAGGGAATAGTTAAAAACTTCGAAAAAATCTTATCTCGATGAAGAGATTAGAGGGAAGTATCTAGAAACCCTCCTGTAGGTTGCGTTTCTTCTTATTTGTAAAATAAAATGTTGCATGGTCACTAAAACTGTTTTTTATAATATAGAGATAATTACCCATTCCACATTGTAATCTGATATAAAAAAATGAATAAATATAAAATATGAATGAATTTTATGATTAATTTAAATAATAAATAATTATAATTAGCAGATAAGGATCCTAATACAGAACCAAAGAAATTCGAGCGCACACCCCAGTTTGGCCAAAATGTTAGAATAAGTTTCCATCGTAACACATGCTCAATAAATTACAAGCTCCGATAATATTAAAAATGCCAAACTCAGACACAATATGAAAGACCAAACTCAGTCTTGGTCATGGTCTTGGTATTGTGCAGTAATATTTTGATAGGAGAAACCTAACTAAGCCTAAATGAAAAATTAAAGCAATTAAATGCAAAAGTATATGGGTTATTCCAATTATTAACATATAGTAACTAAGATTGTCAAGTATTAGTAACTATTTTACCTTAATTTTTATTTTAAAAATCGATTTTTTAAGAGTCTTGGTCTTGCTACAGTTAGGCGGCCTTGATCTCGCAAGACCAAGACCGATTTTGGGCAACACTAGTCAAACCACGCTAAGTTGTGTTCTTCAATAAACATGTATTATTCACATCTATTTGTGTCAAAAATTATATGATTTGATATTCTGTCACTCCACAGTAACTATATTTTCAGCAAAAATAACGACCGAGAAATTATTACAAAGTTTTAATCCCCTCTTTTTCATTTGACCTGGCGTTTATTTAAATATTCCAATCATTATTATACACTTTCTCATTTGAAAAATACGTTTTAAGATAGTGTCGTTTCATAAGTTTATTCCCTATGATGATAATAAAAATAAACATGAATAATCAATGATTTAATGCATAACTTAGCGTGGTTTGACCGTTCAAAATTTCCTTTTAAATACTTTTTACAAAGACAAACTCTACTTGTATTTGATGAAATTGTATCTTGTTATAAATTGCTATGAAGCAATTTTTAATTACCTGAAATAAATTTGTTTTGTGTAATCGCTTCCTATAAAAGAGAATACATGACCATCTTAAGAAAACAGAAAATTGAAATTAATTCCTTTTCTGTTCGAAATAAGCCAGATCATCAAATGAAATCTTTTGTATAGATTTCTCTCCCAGTGTTTGGCGATTAAGAAATGAGGCAACCTTTTTATGAATGATCTTGTTTTACTGATGCGTTAGGAAGAAGGGAGGTATCTCACCTGACAGTCCTCACTAGGGGACAATAGTCTATTGAAAAGTTGAATGGAGCGGAATAGATTTATGATTCATTGAGCTTTTCAAATAACACAGGAGAATATCAATTTTAAATCACTCAGACCTTGACATTTTTTATTTTTATAACTTTTTACCAGTTATTTAATATTTATATGATTATATGAGGTCTATTCCATCAACGATGATGTCTCTATAAAATATATGGAAATTGTTGCATTCACCACCGAAAGACTTTTTAAGAATTTCAAAGCTTATATCATATTAGGATAACAGAAACAATGTCAGTGTGTTATTATATTGATACTATATGTGATGAGAGATATAAAAATGGGGAAAAATATATAAAATGAAATAATGAATAATTAAGTTCTATGTCTTTTTTTTTTTAATTAAATATTAATACATTCTGCCACATTAAAAGGCATTAATATTAAGGCTACATGAATCATTCACACAATATATACATACAAATAATAATTAACATAGAAATAATAAAGAAAAAGAAGTATAGAAAAATAATATATGTAAATTAATATGTCTGTGTACAAAAAAATTAAATAATAGATAGAAGCTAAATAAAATTAAAGTAAATAAAACACAGTCACACCTATATACAATATTTACGTTAGCACAGAAATTTAAATATTGTTCTAACAGAATATAAATGTGGTTTCTAACAGAAAAAGTTAGAACAAGTTTCACCACATTTTAAACAAATTTAAGGCTCATAGTTCCAGCATTTGCTATAAAAACGCTCTAAACTTTTAATACATAACAAATGACTCATATATCTAGTCATGTCATAAATATTGTTACAAGAAAATATCAAAACTTTATTATAAAATATAATTTATCTTTATAGAGAGTAAAAAGAAATTACTCAAAATGTCCCCCCTTTGTCTTGACACAGGCATTTAATCTCCGTGACCAGTCATCAATATGAGCATTCAACATTTCTTGAGGAAAGCGCTCAACTCCTCGGTAAAATAAATTGTTAGAGGCTTTCCTAGTTAGGGTGTGTTCTGTGGCATGCCATCCTCTCCAGTTCGGACCAAAGCCGATAATCTAGTGGGTTGAGATCAGGGCTTCCTGAGGACCAATCCGAGGCAGAGATGAACTCTAGAACGTTCTTTTCCAGCCACTGCTGAGTTGACCTTGGCTAGTTAGCTTCAGCGGAATACTGCTGGAAAATTCACTGGCTTCCAGCAAACTGAGTTTCATTTAGAGTCTTGACAACAGGTTCCAAAATATCGCCCTAATACTTTTTAGCGGCTGTTTTAAATCCTTTTTCACAAAAATGGAACTTTGTGGTGCCAGCTAATCATGACTCTCATTCATTATCTCATAATGAAAAGTTAAAAGGAATCCTTGAACAAAGATCCAGCCTAGCTTCATTAAAAAATCCCCCAAGAATCAGCTATTGTGGCATAATATTGCTTGAGAAAATAACACTCCTTGATTTTCTAGGTGCAAAATCCTTATTTATACTCTCATTGAGTTGTATAATGCTCATTATTTATGAATGAGTGAAAATGTTTCTATTACTTGCACGGTATCTATTTCTGGTCCACTTAGTAAAACGTAAATCCAACTCTTTTTGGTTATTATTTTCAATAGTTAACCATTGTGATCGATCAAAAAATTCAAACTTAACCCACTCTGAAAGTTTGAGGTTTCACGTCTGAAGAGGCGTAGAATTCGAAAAAAGAATACAAATTTTTTTGTTCGTCCGCCGTCCGCAGTTCCGCATTTTCTCCGAAACTACTGGACCGATTTTTTTTTTCAAATTTGGATATAAAATCAGAGCTCACCCGAGGATGATCCTCCTTCACCGACATTACCATCCGCCTCTTACTTTCAAAATGGCGGCCGAAAAACCTGCGTTGCTATGGACCGTGGCTCCTAAACGAATGCACCGATTTCAAAGAAGTCATTTTCTTGACACCCTTTAAATTTATCTATACAACATACTTCAGGAAAGAAGCTGGAAAAAAAGTTACGAGGGATGGTAAAATTTAATTCCGAATAACTCAAAAAGTATAGACTTTTTTGTGGATATTATATCGAACAATTAGGAGCAAAGCAATGGCCTTCATTCTTTTTTATATGTTCTAATCTAAATGTTATATCTTTTGTTTGGTTTTTATGTTTTGAATGTGTTACTGAAGTAATGCTATTTTTTTAGCATATTATTAATGATTAAAAAAAAGTTTTCTTTGTAACTAGGAAGGTAATGTTACGTTACATGTATAGTTGTTTGGAAATAATAAACCATTATGAAATAAATTTCAGCGTTTTTTAAAGTGAATACACATCTGTTTAGGGAATAATAATGCATCGTGTCTCAACTAAGTACATTGATAATGGTGATACAGGAGTTTATTCACACCATAAATCCAACTCTAAGCTATTGTTATCACCAGACGGAATATCCGAACCCTCTGCCAGAGGAAGAATCAGTGTACATAGAGCCTGCTGAACCGCTATAACCAAATTAGTCTCTGGAGCAGACAGGGCCCATCGATCTGTATTATATTTAGCGAAAGTAGCCTTCCTCGACTCCTTCACCGGCTGGATAATCCTGAGGGGCGGGAACAAGGTCTTCTATTGGTTTCCAGAGGCCACTTCAGGATCAATCTGAACGATAATCATTAAGGTATTAAGGTCATCTTAAAGTAACATTTTGTAGAAATACAACAAGCTCGAGGAGTTTCCAGTAACAGATCATGATATCGGAGTCAGTAACAGCTTTTGGCTTGACCAAATTAAATGTTAGCTTCACAAAACAAAAAAAAAAAAAGATCGTTTTGGATGATCTGAGAAATTAATTAATTGATTAATTGGTAGATACAAAATAAACTTCATTGTGAGAAAAAATATATCTTTCATTGTGAGAAAAAATCACTTAAAAATAAAGTATGTGTTCAAATAAATAAAAATATTATCTGGTCAAAAACTACACTAACAAAAAACTACACTAACTTTTGGTTAATTATTTTCAATAATCAACCTTTTTTTCTCTCTCTTTTTCTCGCCTCTACTCTAAAGAGTCATTGACGTTTTTTATAATTTATATTCTATTATAGTGATTTATTATATTTAAAAATTTAAAAATGATAGAGACTCGCTCTTCATTATCTTGTAGAATATCTTTCAGTGTTTTTCCTAGACCTATTTTTTTTCTTTGGCTTTCGAATTGGTGGTGTATTATTATTATTGCATTTTTCGCAAGTAGGAGTTTCTAGACCTCTTAAAATGTAGCTATGTGTATCCAATGTATGTAATACATAAGTTTTCTTTTTCTTTCTCATTCACTATTTCTGACACCAGGATAGGAAACCGTAACCTTCAATGGAAATTGAATAGCTGTAACTTTGTTAATAGTTGACCGAAATGGACGGTTTTTATATAGTTTTATAGAGAATTTCATAAACGACAACTCAGGGGAGCTCTGAAAAGTATAGATCCGTTGAAAAACGCATATTGGAAATTTGGCCCGACCACAATACTTCCCTTACCACATAGGTAGGAAAGTAATAAATTAAAACAAGTATAAAATAGAATACGGTAAATCATCACTAATACTGGTTCAATTCCGAAGATTATTTTTTGTTTTGTATTGTTGGTAGTTTAATTACCTTTCGAAAGTTTTATTGGAAATTTTACCGTAGAATACTATGCGAGTTAGGCTTTAAAATATATTCATTTTCTTTATAACTTTTTTCCTTGAATTTTATCAGGAATTTAGTACATGTATGCTTGAAAGAACAATTATTAGAACATTATAGGAAAGTTTCATCAAAATAGTTATAGCCGTTTTTGCTCTACAGTCTATAGAAAAACATGTTTTTCATTTATTGCGCATCCACTATTGCGCTTATAGCACCCAATCACGGGCATCAAAAGTTAAAACTCTAAAAAATAAAAAAAGAAGCAACAAAATCAGTTCACTAGTTTCCGAGAAAATCTTGGAACAGACAGATAGAAAGAACAATAGCTAAAAATGTGTTTTTCGGAGTCAGGAGACTCTGAAACTTATAGATTCGTCGAAAACCGCGTATCGGAAATTTGACCCGATCGTAATACTTTCCTAACCTAGTATAGGTAGGAAAGTAATAATAAAATAAAATTTCTATTCGACCTCTGAGAAAAATTGGTAATATGCTCCTCAGTCATTCATAAATTACCGCTATGGCTTAACGTAAACCATCGATATCACAAGAGGAAGCTTGTGAATCCGTGATCGATGAAGAATGACAAGGACTGAGGCTCAAGTCGATATCCGATCCCGAGATATCGGCTACAGTAAAGGGAGCTACTACGGCTGTCTCTGGCAAGTCCACGTTAGCTCGAAGATGATTTTTCGCTGTTGTTCATAGCTATAGCGTTCCGTCGCCATTTGGTTTTACAGCGGCTTCTAAGAAAGATTTAATAACTTTTGGCACTGACTTCTCTATTCTGATGCTGGTTATCGTAGAATGTATAACCGGATGGGAAAGGTAGTCTCCGATAATTTCCTCGGTGTATTCAGTGATTCTACTAATTAAGATTAAAGTGAATATTTTATAACACAACGGAAGGAGTGAGATTCATCTATAGTTATTACAATCCGTTCTCGGGCCCTTTTTGTGAATTGGAATAAGAATAGACTCTTTTCCCTATGTCTTTTTAACCAACCGATATATTTTAGAAACTCCAGCTCCTGGACACTACAAAGAGACTACCAACCAAATCCGTACAGTTGTTGAAAATTTTATCGGAATAAATCCCTGTTAATACCGATCTGTAAGTCACATAATAAAAGATTTTATACTATGTTAATCGCAACTAAATTTTCTATATAATGTTTACGTTAGAATCCCGCTTAACCGGCTTCCTAGATTAACCGGTGGTAAAAAAGGAAACAGATAAAAATTAGTTTTCATTTTTCTTTACGTTTTTCTTTTTTTTAATCATTTTATTAAGGTATAATACATTTTACCATACTTAAGGGTAGTGAATATCGAAGCTGTAAGGTACATTCATACCATATATACAATATAATAAAATAAAATAAAATGAAATACATAAAAATAGATATATAAAAGATAATAATAATGCATATGTAACAAAAATAAAAACAAAGAAATATAGCTTATAGTGAAATAATACAGAAAATTCATAAGGAAAAGAAAAATAAATTAATATTAATGATAAACAATTATTAGAATTGAGTAAAAAAAAGAAACAAACAAACAAAAAACCAAAACAAAACTAACAGTCATACTTTAATTTTTTTCCCCTTAGAATAGGCTAATAATTAATTACATTATTGAACAAATAGTTGTTACAGATTGACTGTAACAAATAGTTGTTTTTTTACAGTCAATCTTGAGTTGTGAACTTATAATATTAAAAGCAAACTAATAGAGAGAAAATTACCAGAGTAACAAATACCAAACTGTTGCTATAGAATGAAAGAAGAGGGATTCTGTATTTTACGTTTATCAATAGCCTAGATAGCACACAATTTTATTGTAATTCATAAAAAGATATGAGTAGCTAGACTTAAGAAATGCGAAAAGACTAAAAATGTCTTCTCCTTGAAGCACTACAAATCTAGGTACATAACGTACTTCTCCATCAGCCCTTTTTATTCAATATGGCGGCTAAAAACATGTGTTTCTAAATTGAATACTTAATAGTTGACCGTTGTATTATTGAGGAAGGAGATGGTCCGGGGTGGCGGTCATAAATAGACTAACTTTGACGTTTCGACCCAACTTTGCAGGTCTTGTTCAACGAAATTCGTCAACAAATTTCTCCAAAGGTACTTACTCAGGTTTTCCAGTTCTAAGTGGAACTCCTTGCTGAGCACACCTGTAAGTCTCTATTCTTATTCTTCTAATTTTATTTACTTATTTATTTATTTTTTGGTTAGTTTTTTTCTTTTCTTTCTCCGCAGCACTTTAAGTCCATTATTTCATATTATGTCCTCTTCTTCCAATTTTTTATGTAGATTTGTAGATGTATATTCACAACTGCATATATTATATTGTATATTCAGTTTATGATCTTGTTTCTTAGTTTACTCTGTTTATATTTTTATGTACGTACTGTTTATAATTTAAATAAGTTTATTCACATTCTTTATAAGTTTTAGTCTAAATATCATGTAACCTCCATAATTCTCTATATCTTTTTGTAACTTGTCCGTTCTAGCCCTGAAGAAGACCTGCAAA